TCACGGGAAGGCGTCGTAATGATCATGGGAATGAGGAGTGGTACAGGTTAGCGCAAGAAGATACGGGTGTTGCCATTGTGCTGGAAATGATGAGGTCCACTGCTAGTCGATGACAAAGTCGCCGGAGCTGGGAGGTGGCAATTCGAGCTCGTCTCCTCTAGGATCCGTTGGACTCCTGTCCCAAGGGAAAGGAGTGGGCTCGTTTCTGCTGCCGCCAAATGAGGAGACGGAGCCGGTATTCGCCGAGAGGGTGGCTGATAGCTGGCGAATAGCCTCCCTCGCGGAAATGTTAGATGGCGAAGTTGTGCCATGTCCATTGCCATTGCCGTAGGTTTGAGGTGGGGCCAGGAGGCTGGCTCGACTTGTCCCGTCAGCGGTCCAAGCGCTACGTCTCCTCGACACGCTGCTACTGACACCAACGGGCTCGCGACTCGAGGACGACGGAGTCACCGCCAAGTCTGCCTCTTCGAGGAAAGCGGAGGCGGCGAAAGCCGTGGATGAAGAGTCGGAGTCATCTGGGGTCCAGATCCTCACCGTCGAGTCGTCCGAAGCAGAAGCAAACATCCTAGGATTTGTTGGGTGCCAGGCGACGCTGTTGACAGCATCAGTGTGACCTTTCAATTTCTGTAAAAGCTTGCCACTCGGTCGGTGGTACACGTAAACCTGGCCATCTTCGCTGCCAGAAACGACAAATGATCGTTCTACCCCACCAAAGCAAGACTTGATGACCAAGTTCGATGACTTGTGGCCGTTGAACCGGCCGACCAAAGTCTGGGACGAAATGTCCCAGAGCTGAGCTTGGTCTGGACGAGCATTGATGAGCGCGAAACGAGAGTCTCCGCTGATGCAAACGCTCATCATTTCTTCTTTCATGTAGACAGTTCTGATGAAAGCAACGGAGAGTCGAATGGACGCGGCCATATTAGCAATTGAATGTTGCGGGGGTCACAGGGAAAATCTGACATGTGTCTCAGGACTCGTGCTTCGACTCACCCAGCCGTTGCCATTTCTTGCAAATCGAGGAATAGAATCTCGTGCTTTCTCCGCTCCATGACCCTGCTTCCCCCGCCCAATGCGCCGTCCGTAGATCGCACATTTGGCGTCTCACCATCCTCGCTGGCGGGGTCACCAAACGAGTCTCCGTATGTTCCGTTTCTCAAAGGACTCGAAGCAGCGCCGGCAGCTGACGAGGTAGGAGCTGGCTCATCCTTTGCCAGAGGTCTGGTACCTACCGCCACGAGTGCACTTCCGTTAGGCGCCACCGCAAGAGCCAGGATTCTGAACGGATTGGTGTTGAAGCTGCACAAGACGTGTCCATCAAGATTGCGCACGTGAATCTTGTGGTCCATACCTCCCGTGACGAAGGACTTGCCATCCGACAACCAAGAGGCGGTGCCAACGGCATATTCGTGTGCAGATGGGATATGTTTCTTGGACCCATTGGATAGGAAAAAGATGGTGACATCGCAGTGGTGGGTGCAAAGGATCATGCTGTCGTCTGGAGACCACGCTACGCTTGAGACTGAGTCACTGAGAGGGCCGAGCTTGTGGGTCCCTTCCCACGCGCTATCGATTCCTGCCTCGACGCGGCGCAAATCCTATAACAGTTTGGACAGACGTTAACCTCAGCCGACAGGCTTGAGCGCTCGCTTTCGCCACGAAAACTCACTACAGCTTTCCAGACAAGGACATAGCAGTCCTGCTCGGACGTGGCCTTTGCTTTTCCTCCAGCTGTAGCCAATTTTGAGCCATCTCTGCTCCATGCGAGGTCCCAAACCTGAGCCCCATCATGCCCTCTCAAGGTGGCGCTTATCCTATTGGGGAAGACGGACTTGTCGGATCTGTGATCGACGTACAGCGACATGTGATGGTGTGACGGAGAGTTGAAGAATGGATCGCGCTGCTTCTGGAGCGTTTGAGCTTGGTGAAGCAGCGTCGGTAGACGTCTAGTGGGCACCATGACGGATGGGTGCACAGCGCCTGCCATAGTCGAAACGGGGGCGAATGAGCGAGCGTCCTTGGAATGCGAGCTGGAAGACGTAAGATGCTCACTCTCAATCTCCTGCAGCAATTTGCGTCTGGATGCGGGCCCAGTGCCTTGCCACTTCGCCCTTGCTCGCAGCTCCTCGGGAGAACCACACATGACCAGACTGGGAAGCAGCAAGGAGAGCAGAACTTGAGCACGCCGCAGCTGCCCTGAGGGAAGCACCTCGGCTCACCTCGACAGCTCATGCAGCGAGTCAGAGCCATGGTTCAGTGGAGTGAGCTTGTCTCGAAGTATAGACAACGCCTTCTTAGGCTGCTGAGCTTCCAAGAGTTCCAAGTATCTCTGCTGGTGAATCAGGAATCGTATCCACTTTGAAGTAGCATACATGCGCCTCAACGTCAGCGTTTGACGTAGGAAGACAAAAAAGCCGGCGTACTCACCTCCAGTCCTCTGATCTCAGGTGATCGGAGCGCCAGGTCCAAGGAAGCCTCGTGTCCGACTGATAGGGATCCAACCGTGCGTACATTCGCCGT